GCTATTACTCATGTGTAATGATTAATGTATAAAGGTCTGGTTAGTAACTGTTTGTGACGTGTGTATTCTGGCATACAGTTAGATTGACCCCGTCTCTAGAATATTGAACAGAATAGGCTTTCATAATTTCATAATTTTGATTACTAAGATGTGTGATTTAATTCCTAATTTTTAAACTAGGGCGAGATAAGGTGGTAGAAACAAATGCAGCTTGGAAATTCTTAATCTACTATACTGTATTCTCCACTGAAACTCACTTACAAAGATGAACTTGATAAATTGAACTATAAACAATGTATTCTATATCTTTTACTCACATTTACAAAAAGCAAAACTACATGGCGACATGAAAAGAAGCTTCATTGTGACGTCATTTTACGTTGCTCGAAGTAGTATCGTTGCTGTAGTGTTCCGGACATGCTTGTTAAAAGATATGGATGGAAATCTTAATTTGAATTTAGTCAAAGGCATTTTATTTCGACATAAACGTCATTTATGCATTTTTTTTCTTTTCTTGAGAAATGCTTCAAATGAGCGGTCGTTCTATACCAGAACGTTAGGTAAGTTGATCACAGTTATACATTAAGTTTGTATAGTTGAGTGTAATTCAAATATTGAAACTTATTCTTAAAGATATTCACATAATACACAGATATCATCAGATTGTTTATCCTTTGTTGATGGCCATCTTTGTTTTGGTCGTCACGATTCTTCTCGTTTTGATTTAAAATTGTTTAAAGTACAGCTACTTTCTTTAGTACACTGTTCATAATATACCCTACTTCAGGTATTTCTAGAGATAGTATCTACAGGTTATACACGTAATCGTGACGTCATCAGGGATATATCTGTCTATCGGAGATAGAAATACGAAACCACGGCGTCGGTATGGAAACACAATGATCCTGAAGAGTCCAAGGGTCGCTGTGACGGATCTCTGTCCTTTGTATTCTTGTGTAATTCATGATAGGTGTCCTCCTTGGTGCTGTAATCCTGGTCACTTACACAATAGCTGTGTACGGCAAGGGATATACCTATACTTATGGTTCCTTATGTCTGCTTTTAAGAACGATAATAAGCAAATGTATTGTTGTTGATTTCAATATGGAGCTAAACACACATACAGTATAAAACACGAACGTATCAGATCGCTTAGTTAATTTTCAAGTTTTAAATTTAATAAAACACCTTTCATGAAATTGAACTTAAATTCACACCTGTATATTAGTATTATCTTAATATAAGTAGTCCCTATTATTTGTGGCGTTGCAGTTTTTGTATCGTCAGTGTAAGTGACATTCCTGTAACAGCCTAACGTCTTCTAAATGTTTACTTCTTACGACGGTCTCACGTAATGCAAGGCGCCAGGAGAAGCTTCAAAATGACACTGATCCAATCGTGTTCATAGCCCTATGAATGCAATTTCTCCTGGTAGTTGTTTTGTATAGGGATCTACAGTGGAAATGTAAATGTAAGACATTCAAACGAATATTCATCGCATTCTTTGCTGCAGAGATAAAATACGATTTATTGTCGCACTCTGTCGCTAAACCTTGCTCACTTGACATTTCCTCCCACATTTAAAACACCACTTTATTTTATATGGCATTGATATGGTGGATAAAGAGCTGCTATCGCTTTTATCTGTTAGGTACGTAATGGCCTAGGGTATTTAGTATAGTCTGTGTGTGTGTGCTAGACAGATTTACATTGCCTTCAGATACATAACTGTTTAACACGTACATGTACATACTTACTGAAACTCTCGCTGAACTGATCTTATCGAATTTAATTTATTTCTCTGGAGACACACAAATATTCTTAGAAATGGTCTCGTATTTGAATGAATAAATTTGTACATTAACATAAACATTGGTGTGCAATTTCATTTGATTTTAGATAAATGTTTTTATAAATTAGATATTTTTTAAGAATGAAAAATTTATTTCGAAATTGCAGTTTCTGAATAATACTGCTTTTTTTCAATAAAAAATATAATTGTTCGTAGTATCTTCAGTTCGTCTGACGGGTTAAAAGAAGAATACCTCTGTAGTTTTAAAGATAGCTTCCGTTTCTTCAACGTGGCGTGGTTTTATATCTGAACCCATTATATTGAGATGAAATCTGTTAAACGCTATCTGTTGTTATGTATCAATAAATAGCCAAGAAGTACAGGTGTTAGTGTAAAACTTTATAAACAGGGTCGTATCAACACAATACATCGTATTTTCTACCTGGTTTACTCCCGAACTGGTCTTTACAAATACAGGTATACAATCTTGTCCCCCGGGGGATGGGAGGTCCTGCTAAATTCTTAGCTAGGTCAGAGATGAGGCGTCGTGTGGCGAAAATAAATGACCAGTTGCTGACCGCAGTGACAAATGACCACCAGTATATCAGGACATTACTTTTATGACTAGCAGGTGCAAAATTTAAAGGAGCGACCGCAATCTGCAATGTTTGCCTTATATATGTGACCTCGTAATTAGTTGACCGTTACAACTTGTTTTGTAGTCCCAAGTACATTTTAAGAACCTTACTGTGTTGAACATGAACTTGATTTCTTTTAAAGCTCTGCCGCATATAACTAAATCACAATGTGAAAATGTTTTGTTGATATAGAGTCCATTAGTTTATGGGTGTTAATTGCATAGAAAATTGAAAGTGTGAAAACAAACATTGCAATTTCACTCGATTTATAACCAAACTTTCAACGCTTCAGTTTTCATATGATACATTAGATAAAAGCAATCGATCTTTCAAGAAGACCGAACAATTTTAATTTTGAGGTGAAATCCTAAACATCGGAAACCACATGTTACGTTATTTTGGATAGACATATATATAAGGAGAGTATGCTTAAAGAAGTAGTTTCGGTTAGAAAACAAAACATTAAAGCAAGAGAAAGGCTGAAATCGTTATTCAACGAGAATAAAACTGGGTATAGCGCTAATAATTGTGTTGCTTACTTAAGAAATACTTTGATCTATATTGCACTCCTCTTCAGAACGATAAGAAGCTGATATATATTCGAATGTTAGTTTTGCCGGAATGAACGAAGCTCTTTTTTATATATATATATATTGACTGAAAAGGTTTGACTTTTTATAACGAGTGTAACTGGTAACGAGTGTCGTTTCTTGCTAGAGTGTCTCGCTCAGTTCTAAGTGTATTGTACTTGGTACACTTGATGGAATCTTCTATCGTAGTTACGAGCCGGAAGGGTGGTCTAAACACTCTCAAGTAGTATCACTGGTAGCAGTTGGTCAACAGACCCGTATTCGTGACTTAATAGTAAACGCCCCGTTCACCGATCAGTATTTACTTTGCTGGAGAGTGTGGATATATATATATATATATATATGATATGTATATTGGGCAAAGAAGTAATTCCAACAGTGTGGACAAGTTTAGGTTGTCAAATTTTCGGAGCGATCCGCTCCTTTTTCAAGACACAGTAAAACAGAACAGTTACATGTACATATACATCATATTACAAGAAGATAGAATTGATATACTATAATTGAAAATATAGCTATTATATAAAACCAATAGTCCCCTCGGCTAAAGACAGCCGAAGGCAGCAATTACGCTGAGAGCATCGCGGCAAATATTACTTCTTTGACCCATATGATATATATATATATATATATATATGATATATTTGCTTTTCTCTGTTTATGTTTAGATGTGATGACGTAATTTCATTTAATAGTTATATGGTGATTTGTTATTGGGTTTTCATACTTTCGAGATTACTCGCGGAGATCTCTCAATCATTTTGACTACAAAATCAATATGTGATACTTTTCCTGCTGGATCTGAAGAGTTAAGAATACTTTTTGATACATAAAGATTGACTTTACAAAATTCGCGTGAATTTTGGAGTTCGGAATTTAGTTTCAAAACAAGGGGACCACATAAAAACACATCCAAATTATATTTGAAAAATAATAATATTATTTTTGATTGTCCGCTTTGATTTCTTTCTCCTATTGAGGCGTTTTTCAAATCTGTTAGATGCACAATGATTGTATTTTTGTACAAACGTACTGTCCTTGTTATGTAAATATCCTCTGCTTCCTCACACCTTCTTGTTTTGCTGGCGAACTGATACTTTACGTCAAAGGAGCCTAGTGCACAGAGGAGGGGAACGTGGTTTTGAGGAGAGGAAGATACCCTACGGTTGTTTTAGAGATTCTATTTTTGTCCTAGTAGCCAACACTACATGTACACACCTTGCAGTCTTGTATTACAGTGAATCACTCCAGCACGTACCTGGCACGCGCGTCTGTAATCATGGCACGTGGGGCTCCCCATGGGTTACAGTTTAAGGGAGTGTCTATATATTTGAAATCAGATGAGATGATACCGCATGTGTATCAAGGATCACATCAACAAATATCAATGACAGTCATTGTGCATTTTTCTTCCTTTTAGTTATACTGGCAACTTATACTGTTATACTATTAGTTTAAACTATATTTGATTAAAAAGGCCAACATTAACATACATCTAATAAAAATAGGGAGATGGTAACGTTTATCTTTTATGAAATCCTTTGACAAAGTACAAAATAACAAATCTGAAAGAATATTCTAAATTTTTAATTTCTTTGCACATTATTTTCTTTTCGTTTCTTTATTAGTTTAAGTTTTACAACTTAAGATATGTTAACCATAGCAACTATCTTACTTAAGAATTAAAGATGTTAGTGTAGAAAACATCCAACTGAAAAACAATGACAGGTCTCGAACCGACCTGTGCAAAGTTATTGGGTCGATAAGGGCTATTTTTTTCCTTGTACAAACTCTGTTAAACGTTTTGTAAAATTAGATTCGTACGCCATCTGTCAAAATATTTGTGTCACTGTTACTGCAGGACTTTTACACTCGTGTCCTGTTAACAATATATACCTAAATATAAAAACTCAAAATCCATTCAGAGTGCAAACTTTCTCGACATAAATATTCAAACGATATATTTTTTTGCGTTTTTAGCTCCCGTGTCGACACAAGGCGGAAGTCGACTTGTCCAACAGGGCGGAAGTGTGTCGAGCCGACAGAGGAACACCAATACAATCCGGTTTATGGGAGATGGAGCGTACGTCCACTACAACTTCAGTGTGTTTACCGGACTACACCCCCAGATGGTGGAATATACACAGAATGAGACCTTCTCCCTCCAGTTCATCACACAGGCGACTAATGGACTCATCTGGCTCGATCACCGCGGCAGCGAAGTCCTATACCTGGCGCTCAGGGTCAGTTACCTCCCTTGAATCGTTTTACATATTTTTTATCTTCTTGAATTTCATTCTCCTTATTTTGTCTCCTTTATTTCTTTAAAAAATCTCGTTTCCTTTCGAAAACACCTGTTCACTTTTAATGCGGTACTGCAACCTTAGTTAGGATATACCAACACATGTTGTGTGACGTCATATTACCGGTGTTTAGTGACGTCAGTCACGTTGACATGAGCATTGCTGGTTTTGCTAATCTACGTCGGAAAGAGAGTCCCGCAGCGAAGTGAGGGGGGCCTGTCTGCGTTATCTTATATTTACCAGTCTCTTACTCTATGTTAATACTTTATATACTATCTACATTAGGTAGTGTTATTTATTAATTATGGACTTGTTTTTAGATGAACAAGTGGTTAAATGGACCTGAAAAGGATACATTATTGGACGAAACCAAGCATATAACTTTTCAGGCCTTAATTGATGTGTTAAATATGAAGTTATGCTGTTTTTATTATCAAACAAGATTGAAAAGAAAGTAACAAAATCGTTAATAAAAAAATATATTGTATTTGGCATTGTTACGTTAGAATTGAAGTGACGTCATAGAGAATATTAACCTGCTGTTTAAAATTAGTAACAACTTGTTAAATCACCGACCTCCATCTGACTATGATTTAACAAATGAGAATATAGAAATAAGTTTTGTCATCTAATATATTTTCATATCCAATAATTGTAGAAATGCTTAATTTTCCACTTGATAAATTGGCTCCTTTACTTCAAAATGTACTGAATTCGAAGCACAGGTAAATTTAAAAAAACTTTGATAACGCGTTCTATCAGTTGTAACCATATAGAATGCATACGACTTGATTACCACAGAACTTTTGGGTCTGTTTTAATATTCTTAACGTCTGCTGACGTTTTTTTTATTCCAATTTAATGAGAAACACATTCCTCTCTTTGACATTTATACACCATGTCTATGAAATAGTTTACCAGATGTCACAACTACTTTTAGATTTCGTTCAACCAGTATCTGTTATCAGTAGAGTTCTGAAGAACTCGCTTTTATCTTTCTGAAATATCACATTATTTTTCCTTTCAAGATATTTTGATTCTCGTTGTTACTATTTATTTTACATTTTGATAATCCTTAATGTTAGTATCATGTTTCTTGTAACTTCGATCGGTGTTAACAACAAAATGTTCCCTTCCAAGGCGGTAAAGAATGTATCGTAAGTTTAGTTTCTGTTCACCGGAAGCGGAACACAAGGCATGCGCATGACACGTGGTAAAATTTTGCAAACAAAAGTAAGTGAATCAGGGTTCATATTTGTAAGTGTAAATCCGAATGAAGGAGTTTTTTGGTGAGGGCAATAAATAATCAATATTTATTTCTCAAACAGAACGAATCTTTCCCCGGGAAAACTTGTGTCGTAAGTAGACCGAACAATGAATGCATCCGATAGGACAACAAAAACAGTACGACTTGTGGTGAAGGAACATATGATACTAGGAATGATTTTACGACGGCATGAATACAAAGAAAGGTCAAATATGTTATGATTTTCTGACCTTTGACCCTCAATATAAAGGTCATGATGTTTGTCGGCCTTTGAACTCTATTTTATATGATTTGTATACATAGTATTATATTCATGGTTTTGTTTGATCCTATAATAATAAATATCCATTTACAGATGCTCGTAGAGGATGAATGCTGGAATCTTGGGTTTTCGGAAACAGTTTTAGGATAATGAAAATATTTTTTTAATTAACGGTTAAATTTATAATCGATTCGAAAACAATGAAAAAAAACTTGTCACTTTGGGAACAATTTGTACCTAACATTTCTGTTTTCATTGAAATCCTAAACTGTTCTGAAGATGTCCAGATGTTTTGTAATCAAAAACTGGTGTTGATATCGATTGTGATGTGTTTGAATTCGTACTAGCAGCATGCTATCATATTTGAGGGAGGTGGCTCTGAAACGGAAAGGGTTATCTACCTTTGGACAGTCTTTGTCAATATATTAAATAATCGGCCATATTTGTTTACATTTTTTTTTAAAATACATGTTATAATAATTATTATAAAGTAAAAAGGAGTTAATACAATCGTATGTGTATATAATATTAGAAATCAAATTGCGTGCATGAGGAACAATTTTTATTATCAGATGATCAGTAAAGAGGTAAGAATTATTTTCGTTGATACATGTGTATATAGATAGATGTTGTAAAAAGTTGTCTGGGTAATGTTGAAACATACACCCATTTTGTGTTTGTAAATAGCGTTAACATGACAGTACATGTACCTTTTTTGTTGTTTTTAGGATGGTTACCTAGTGTTCGGGATTGACGAGGGTGTCGGCGCCCCCCGGGAGATCCGACTCCAGTAACATACCAGTACATGTACCTTTTTTGTTGTTTTTAGGATGGTTACCTAGTGTTCGGGATTGACGAGGGTGTCGGCGCCCCCCGGGAGATCCGACTCCAGTCCCTTCGGGTCGGGGACATCAACGACTGGAACTGGCATACGTTCAAGGCGACCAGATCCGGACGTTACGTAAGTGTCGGAGTCAGTCATTAGTATCGACTGGAGTATAGATTTAAAAGATATATCAAGCTTATGGTACTATAAGACCAAGTCTTAGTCTTATTTCCACAAGAAAAAAAAATACCAGTCTAGGTGACCAGAAATTAAATACATATCCTAAGATCCCTTATTTTAACTGTTAACGCTATCGATACGAACGAAACAGACTCTATTTAAGAATACACGTACCATTGCCAACAATTGTAAATATGTTGTGGAAAATGAATTTCCCGGCATGGCTATGTTTTTAATAAAACTTTTCTGGAAAGGAAATAATATCTTGCTGCGGGACGTTTATAAAAAAAAATAATGAAGATGGAATAAACAAAATATAACCAACAGAAGTGTTCTGAGTGTAAAAAAAAAAGGAGAGGGGGTTGGCTGGAATTCTAACCCTGGACTTCAGGTTATTATACTATCGTTTTTACCGACTGCGCTGTCTGGCGAAACTCCGCTACAATTCTAGCCAAACGGAAGTTAAGGAGAGGTTACTGTTTATACGAAAACCTCGACGGAGAGGGAGAGTGATCCTTAAAAATGTTATTACAAGCCACATGTTCCAGAGAATATTCGGAGAATCATATTGACACGTACATTTCACTATCATAAACAAACTGCGGATTTAGGGTCAAAAGCAAGCTCCGCCGATTTCTTACTTGACGGATCGTTTCCATAAAGTTATGAAACTGCAAGGAAAGGGGCGTGTTAATCAGGGGGTTTTCGGACTAACTCCCTAGACGAGAGAACTAAGTCTTTCGACAACTAAATATGGCTAATTTAACGAGTGATTTTTTATTGAGTAAAATATTAAACAGTAAATATATCAATGTTCGTTTTTCTTTTTGTCGTCACAATGAAATATTATAAAAAGGCATTTATTGAATGCAGGTTTGATCTGCACTTCGGATGCTTTCGGGTTATACATGTAACTGTATGAATTTTTATTAAGATATAACGTAATTCTACCACCGTATACGTCATCATGTCAACTATGACGTCCTTTAAAGTAATCACATTAAATGCTAAACAAAGAGGACGTCTTTTTTTCTATTCAATATCGTGGTAAATGTGTTAAAAGGGAAAGTAATGAAGCAAATTTTAAAAATATTTAATAGAAAGAAAAAAAAAAAAGAAAAAAAAAAAAAAATTATAAGTCCTGTCCATCTTATAAATATGGAATGGTGAAACTTGCTGGGGTTAGTTTTCCTTACATCGTAATACAGATTCATCAAAGACCGATATAAGATCGTGGTAATACACGAGGAAAAATTAAACACGCTGTTATCTTTTCGTTCCTATAGATCAAGTTTTACATCGACAACGTCCAGGTGGGAGAGACCACCACCCGAAGGGAGATGCAGTTCGTAGACCGAGGGCAGGTGTACTTAGGAGGCACCCCCGACACCAGTCTACTGACACAGGGCAGGATAACGTCAGGCTATGACGGGGCCCTCACTGTGGTGAGTAAAATACATTTCTCCAATACCCACCTGAAACAGGGAAGGATAAAGTCAGGCTATGACGGGGCCCTCACTGTGGTGAGTAAAATACATATCTCCAATACCAAACCTGACACAGGGCAGGATAAAGGCAGGCTATGACGGGGCCCTCACTGTGGTGAGTAAAATACATATCTCCAATACCCAACCTGACACAGGGCAAGATAACATCAGGCCATGACGGAGCCCTCACTGTGGTGAGTAAAATACATATCCCCAATACCAAACCTGACACAGGGCAGGATAACGGCAGGCCATGACGGGGCCCTCACTGTGGTGAGTAAAACACATATCTCCAATACCCAACCTGACACAGGGCAAGATAACATCAGGCCATGACGGAGCCCTCACTGTGGTGAGTAAAATACATATCCCCGATCCCCAACCTGACACAGGGCAGGATAACGTCAGGCTACGACGGGGCCCTCACTGTGGTGAGTAAAGCAACGCTATATCCGATACCCAACCTGACACGGGGCAGGATAACGTCAGGCCATGACGGGGCCTTCACTGTGGTGAGTAAAATACATATCTCCGATACACAACCTGACACAGGGCAGGATAACGTCAGGCTACGACGGGGCCCTCACTGTGGTGAGTAAAGCAACGCTATATCCGATACCCAACCTGACACGGGGCAGGATAACGTCAGGCCATGACGGGGCCCTCACTGGGGTGAGTAAAATACATATCTCCAATACCCAACCTGACACAGGGCAAGATAACGTCAGGCCATGACGGAGCCCTCACTGTGGTGAGTAAAATACATATCTCCGATACCAAACCTGGCACAGGGCAGGATAACGTCAGGCTATGACGGGGCCGTCGCTGTGGTGAGTAAAATACTTATCTCCGATACCCAACCTAACACACGGCAGGATAACGTCAGGCTAGGACGGGGCCCTCACTGTGGTGAGTAAAATACATATCTCCAATACCAAACCTCTGACACAGGGCAGGATAACGTCAGGCTATGACGGGGCCTTCACTGTGGTGAGTAAAATACATATCTCCGATCCCAAACCTGGCACAGGGCAGGATAACGTCAGGCGATGACGGGGCCGTCGCTGTGGTGAGTAAAATACTTATCTCCGATACCCAACCTAACACACGGCAGGATAACGTCAGGCTAGGACGGGGCCCTCACTGTGGTGAGAAAAATACATATCTCCAATGCCCAACCTGACACAGGGCAGGATAACGTCAGGGTATGACGGGGCCCTCACTGTGGGGAGTAAAGCAACCCTATATCCGATACCCAACCTAACACAGGGCAGGATAACGTCAGGCTATGACGGCGCCCTCTCTGTGGTGAGTAAAATACATATCTCCGATACCAAGCCTGGCACAGGGCAGGATAACGTCAGGCTATGACGGCGCCCTCTCTGTGGTGAGTAAAATACATATCTCCGATACCAAGCCTGGCACAGGGCAGGATAACGTCAGGCTATGACGGGGCCTTCACTGTGGTGAGTAAAATACATATCTCCAATACCCAACCTAACACAGGGCAGGATAACGTCAGGCTATGACGGGGCCCTCACTGTGGTGGGTAAAATACATATCTCCAATACCCAACCTGACACCGGGCAGGATAACGTCAGGCTATGACGGGGCCTTCACTGTGGTGAGTAAAATACATATCTCCAATACCCAACCTGACACAGGGCAGGATAACGGCAGGCTATGACGGGGCCCTCACTGTGGTGAGTAAAATTCATATCTCCGATACCCAACCTGACACAGGGCAGGAAAACGTCAGGGTATGACGGGGCCCTCACTGTGGGGAGTAAAGCAACCCTATATCCGATACCCAACCTAACACAGGGCAGGATAACGTCAGGCTATGACGGCGCCCTCACTGTGGTGAGTAAAATACATATCTCCAATACCCACCCTGACACAGGGCAGGATAACGTTAGGCCATGACGGGGCCCTCACTGTGGTAAGTAAAATACATATCTCCGATACCCAACCTGACACAGGGCAGGAAAACGTCAGGGTATGACGGGGCCCTCACTGTGGTGAGTAAAGCAACCCTATATCCGATACCCAACCTGACACAGGGCAGGAAAACGTCAGGGTATGACGGGGCCCTCACTGTGGTGAGGAAAGCAACCCTATATCCGATACCCAACCTGACACAGGGCAGGATAACGTCAGGCTATGACGGGGCCCTCACTGTGGTGAGTAAAATACATATCTCCGATTCCCAACCTGACACAGGGCAGGATAACGTCAGGCTATGACGGGGACCTCACTGTGGTGAGTAAAATACATATCTCCGATTCCCAACCTGACACAGGGCAGGATAACGTCAGGCCATGACGGGGCCCTCACAGGATGAACTCGGGACCTCACTGCAACGACTTTCTAATAATGACCACATTGGCATTGGATATAGTCTTACTGACGACAGAATAATACAATGCTTTAAATGTTTTCAAAATATTGATCCGAAATGTTTAATCGTAAACTCACTGCTGTTGATTTGTTTCAGGTGGAATATGAGAAGAAGATCTCAGCATTGCGTGTGGTCATTGTCAGCCTTCTCCAATACATAGAATCCGGAAATCAGCACGGAACGTTCCAGATCATCAGACCGGGAGATCCATGGGGAACTCCGAGGCCTCCTAGGACCACGCGACGGCCTCCTAGGACCACGCGACGGCCGCCTGTGACTCGCGCCCCCACCCCTTTCCCGACACGCCGACCTGATGTTACCCTCAGACCTACCAGACCAAGCAGCTATAAACTACTTGACATTATTTCCATCCGGTCAGCGTATTTACATATTCCCGGGTATATTGACTTGCGCGGTCAAGGGTCAATTTCCTTCCGGTTTCGGACCTTTGAACCTAGAGGGGTCATTTTCTTTTCTGAGAGATTAAGCACACCCTATTTCTGCGCCTTTGAGATATTTGACGGCTATCTTTATATGGTATATAACTTCGGGCAAGGACCCAGGAGGCAAAAGGTATCGGACAGGAAGTTGAACGAGGGCGACTGGCACGAGATCCGGTTACAGCTGCGTCAAAATGATGCTGTCGTTTATGTCGACGGACAGACGACCTCAGTTCAGATTGACTCGACATCGCGTGACCAGATTTACCTGAACAGTGGTCTTTATGTAGGGGGTCTGCCCCAGGGACGGGATTACCCCTGGTACATCTGGTCCAGGGTCGGATACAATGGATGCTTTGATGACCTCATCATCCGGGAATTTTGTAAGTACAATATGTGTCCACATGGTATTCAAGAAGGGACTACATAAACTGTAAAAGTGGAAATTTTGGCGGTACGGAAATGCCGGCGTTTTCCGCGTTAAATAAGTTCCGGCGAAAATATCCAAACGCGAATTCAGGTATATTTTAAATGAACTCTTCCAATTCCTATAATAAAATCTGTACGATAACATACAAATATAAGTTATAATGTCTAATATCTGTGGTGATTCCTGTTATATTTGTTTTATTCAGCTACGGACATGCGTGGTAGTGTTTCCATTCCAAACAACGCTAATGTGCAGACCGGATGTACAATGCTGGGCAGGTGTGACGGAACCAGGTGTATGCACGGCACGTGCAACAACCGAATGGACCAGTTCATGTGTAACTGTATGGCTTCCGGCTATCAGGGACAGCTTTGTGAACAGCGTGCGTAAACAATGTTCTCCAATTCTTACCAGATTGTCTCGAACTGTAGTTATTAATTCTATTGTAAAGCCCGTATGTAATAATCATTTCTTTTTTCGAAATTCGACAATATAAGTTCTAAGATATAATTTTCAAATTGCAAGCCTTTGCCAGGGCCCCTTTGAGTATTTAATTTGGCAATCATTTCTGTCCCTAAGGTATTCCGTCAATTTATATTTTATGAAATGGAAAAAAATCGATCATTGAGAAAATTGACTATTAACAGTATTAAACAAGAGTAAAAATGTCGATTCTCCATCCCCCTACAGTTGCCGTGGTGGCAGGGTTCCAGGGCACCAACTCCATCTCCTACTACTACTCAACCACCAAACAGACCCACACCAACGATATAGGGCTAAGGTTCAACACCATGTTCGGCGACACATTCCTGTTCCAGACCGCGTCCAGCCGACACCCCGAGTACATCCGGGGCGAGCTTGAGGACGGCCGGGTCAAAGTGACGTTCTTTGTCGACGGAAGGGAACAGGTAGGTCAACACAATATCAAGAGTACTATTAACAACGATGTCATGCCTTCATTCCATTAACAATCACACTTACTGTCTGGTGATCTTCCTTTTTTTTGTGATTTCTTCGTACGTTTCTCTCAATATATCGCTAACACCCCCGTACAGCGGCGAACTCTCAATATATCGGCAACACCCCCGTACAGCGGCGAACATTCGCTGAACATTTGATGCCATTGTTACGAGATTTTACTGTATATTACTGTAAAATTGGAAATTTTCGTGGCGGAAAATGCTCGTGGTTTTTCGCATGGAGTAAAATTAGTTCGCGAAAATTACCCGCGCGAACGTTTTATTTATAGTCTTTTAAGAAAAAAGATATATATCGTATATATATTAGAACCATTGACAACATGAAAAAAATCTTCATTGTGGTCAAATTAAAAAGTCACAACGCGAAAATGTCAACACCCGAGAATTTCAATATGGACAGTATATATATATTCGATATGTGTTGCTTTAACGGTATTTTTCTGTTTGTCAGGTCTACTACACAGGGTCAAACCTGAATGATAACGCATGGCATGACCTCTATCTACAACGAAGGGCCAACCAGTTGGAGCTGTGGGTGGACAGTGAACCGCACGTGCTAGGTAACAGTCAATTCCTATATGAAATTACAAGCAAAAATTCTTTTCATAAAACATCATTCACAAAGAAAAAATATTTCGAAAATTTAACAATGGGATATGATTCCTTTATTCACAAACTGTATTGAAGACTAGAGGATTCTTATAAAAAGATTGCGCATCTGTTTTATACCTATTGAAGTCTAATGTCGTGTTTATACAACTTTTGAGAATCGCACTGTAGTGTACGTATTGAGTTAATATCATCGAAATTAAATGGGCATAAACAAAAACATTTAACGGAAAGTTTGGTCTATGGACCAGCTACGTTCACAGTTGAGTCTGATACAGAAACTAAGAAATTGTAACGCTCCTCGACCGTAACAGATACTGGAAATATAAGTATATAGGCAATACATAAAAATGTGCCCTATATATTGCGCTGTAGATTTGGTTCCAAAACGAAAATTCTGATATTTTTCAGGAACATTGGAAGGTGAAGATTTTTATATAAACATTGGGGAGATAAACTTCGGATCCAGTACCTCGTCCGCTACCCAATCGCCTAACTACATAGGTTATCTACAGAACGTCTATTTTGACGACGTCGATCTATTCTCTAAGCTCCACCAGCAGCCTGATCTAAACATCAAATGGTACACCAACATTGCAGTAGGGCAGACCCCACCTATCCCGATATATAACCCTGTGACCATTACCTCCTCGGAGGCCTATATGATGCTTACGCCTCTCCCGAAGGTCGGAAACCTTCACATCACCTTCAAGTTCCGCACCAGCCAGCCTGATGGTGTTATCCTCTTCAACAAAGGCAGAAAGGGCAAGTTTATTGCGGCCGAGCTGGTTAGAGGGTACCTAGTGTTTGCTTACAATAACGGGTACCGAACCAGTACGAACAGAATCAACAAAAAGGTCGACGATAATCAATGGCACACGTTCGAGGTTAGAGAGGTCACCCAAACTAACGGTAATAGGGTGTACCAGGCGAGAGTTGACGATGTTCTCCGGACTATTCCGATCGCAGGGGCAGGTGACCTCGAGCTGTCCGGACATAACCTCTACCTTGGAGGATTGTCAGAAAACATGTTCAACCTGAACGCCTTCGTTAAGTCAACATTGTCCTCCAACAAAGGGTTTATGGGATGTCTGGCCTCCGTGCATTTGAATACGGGAACCCCGGATTTCAAGAAATATGCAAGCAGCGCAATTCTTTTGGACACCTGTCAAGGTATGTTAGTTACTTATGAGATTTTTAAATAACACATTCACCATACACTTGAACATATTAAAATATTCAGGCAAATTAGGCAGACACGCGTATTGGGTCGTTATTTCTTAATTATATTCGGCAAAACTTTTCATCCACAAAATCGAGCCAAGTGATCCTTCCAAAATTTTGAAACTGGACGATGTCCTGAAATATTTCTTCAGAATGTTCCTGGAGGTTTCTTGGTTCAAATACACGTAATTAATATATGAACTTTATTAACCCATTTATCAAGTAGCTGTCTCCTAAGCTTTGATGAATAATTTCAATTTTTCGAAAGGCCTATTAATGAATTTGTACCCAACATACTTGGTAACATCTAAATATATCTACTGACGTTTTTTTGGTCTTGTAATTTGTGCGTATTATATATTTCAAAAAATTAGTTTAAAAAAAGATCCATTTCAGAGGTCTGGAGGTATTCGTTTCCATAATTATTTCAGTTTGGTGTTAATTGTAAAAATCATATCCATAAAACTTCAACATTAAGAAGAGAGAACAGAATACATAATAAAGGGAAAAATAAGTAAATTATGTTTCCAACTTCTTTAATTCTTAAACAGGATTTCTTAAAAAAAATATGACAGTATGGTTTGGTCTAAACATTAATTATAGACAGAACGTTTTATATTGCTCTAACACGGTCAAAATGTTTTTTATGAAATCAATCCTTCCTTTTTGAAATTTCCACTTTCCGACCCTTTAGACTAGCAGTTGCCAGGACGTTAACCCACAAGCAAACAAATGGGCTTTCTAAAATATCGTACTTTTCAAAATTGGCAAAAAAAAATATATATCCATAAGCTTCCTCTCAGAAATGGATTACATTTCAGACATCAATGGCGTGTGTCCGGCTGGAAGTAATCCTTGCCAGAACAATGGTGTATGTACGGCGGGAATCACAACATTCACGTGTAACTGTGACCTCACGGCGTACGCGGGACCCCGGTGTGAAGCATGTAAGTACAGTTGTCCCGGGAGTGCCTGGTTCGACTCCGATTAATGGGGGTTAGTGTTTTTTTTGTCTTTATTGTTTTGGTGTCGCGTTAGTGCCTGTTTTGTTTATATCCCTTCAGGGTTAAGAATTGACAATGTGGTACCCAATTCTCTATTTGACATTACTTTTGACTGATATTTCTGTAACAGAATGTTTTTTGGATGGAAAAGATATTTTTTAGTTTGTCACTTTCACATTGTACAGCGTCTTACCAAGACACTGCATTTATAATCTTACGGAATGAGTTCTCTCCCTCTCTCAAAAATTAATTAATTAAATAAATAAGAATATTTTTTTTTATTTTTTTTAAACAAACTTTTAATATATAGAATATTGATGTTTTGTTGTTGTAATCATATCTTTTGTTTTTTTATTTAAACATATTTTTATTTGCATATAATATACAAAAGGGATCGGGCACAAGTTGTCCAACTTATGTAAAGCCCTTTCCCTATAACATAATGAAATATATATATACAAGATGGCAATTTTTAAATTAATTAATATTTTCAATTAAGTTTAGTGTTACTGACAGAGAGAGAGAGAGAGAGAGTGAGAGAGAGAGTGAAAGGGAGGGGGGGAGGGGGGAGGTCATAGCTTGAAGATATTTAATTTGAGATCGTGGTAGTGATCTTCTCCGACACAGGCGGCACCAGTAACACTGTCCACTATTCAAATCACTCTGCTTTTCTAATGTTCATCACTTTCCGTGCCTCTGTTGCCTTCTCCTTGTAAATTCGATTCCTTCTGGTATCTTTTGTTAAGACATGATTAAAAAAAACTTTACTTCGATAAATTGTTGGAATTATTTTAAGTAAAATAAAAATAAATCCTTTTTCGTAGACCCACTTGTTCTATACAACTGAAAAGCTTTTCTTTGTGAGACTTGTTTCTTTGTTGACCTGATTTGGTTGTGCATAGAAAACAATATGTGTTTGTAGAATAATTGAAAATATTCGCATCTTTACATACACTTGTACAATGTTTGTATTCTTGATAAATCCGCTTCCTTTGTACACGAATTTAAGTTGTAGGATTTCGAGAAATATAATCCGAAATGTTCATCTTGTAGACCCCCTTGGTTTGTACATTGGTAAGAAAGGATTGGATGGTATTGTAACATACACATACAAAAACGCCATGAATTCTGACAAGGACAACATCGCCCTGGGTTTCATGACGTACCGAGGGGATGGGATCCTGGCTCGCTTTGACAACCTCTACGGCACCGAGTACATTGAATTGCGCCTGGTAAAGTATTTCTTGTTTTACACCCTTAAGTTGCAATAACCGTTCAAAATCACATTATTTAAAAGATGATTAATATTGTATGTAGACTCTGGGTGAGTAGGAATATTGTTTACGATTATTGGAATTTATTTAAAAATATGCAGACCTAAAACTGGTATCAAGGGTGAATGGAACGCTTGGCTAGTAAAGACAATGTGCCGGTTAAGGTTAAAAACTTCAGGAAAACTTCAGGAGTTTTAGAAAAAATAATACGTGATCTATTAAAAGTCAGAAGATAAAACTTTCTTTAAATGACCTCTGATATTGAATGCTCTGGTTACATTTTCAATACTCACGTTTCCAGGAGAAGGGATTCCTTGTTGCGGAGTACGACACCGGAGATGGCGCTCAGACTATAGTCCTCGACAACGTCAAGTACAATGACGGAAACTATCACGTGGTCAACTTCTACAGAGACGCTGACGGCTCCAGATTCTTTGTCGATGGCTTTGTGAAGGATCTTACTCACTCCGGTAAAATTGTCCTCAATAATTTTTAATGACAGATTTCATTTGTAACATCTTAAAATGGACATAAACCATAGCGTGTCTCCCCGGTACGCCGGTAATATTATCATTGCTATTACCGTATAGACTAGAATATTCTTTCTTCTTTTCTACTTCGCTCTGTTACTTTTCAAAATATCGTGATTTATATCTCCATTAAAGTAAACTATCGTCATTTATGTATTTATATTTTCCTTTTAGGGGCTCAATCCATCTTCGACAATCTCCAGTACGTATATATTGGTGGCAGGCAGGATTCTAACGGAGCAATCATGAATGCCTACAACGGTATCATCGGAGGTAAGAACTTGAACAGAGCTAGAACTTTAAACCGAACTTGTAATAGAGGTTTTTTTTCAATGAAGAACCCTTGTTTATTTACTACTTAAAGATATTCCAATTATCTAATGAACTATGTTACAACGCAGTTTTATTTCCAATGTTTTTTGAAACAATTTTGGTGCAATGAAAGATAGTTTAGTTAAACGTATCATGGCGCGACCATTCAGTGTGTATGCGATACTTGTGGCAGTTTTACCAGTAGGTAAGCAACATCTATACAGTTTATTGCTTATATTAAAAATAATGCAATTAGGACTGATAATTTCCCTATAGTTCAAAATTTCTCATTGTTATAAGCGAAGTCAGGTCTTTAACTGGAAAAAGCTAAGAGGAACAGCTGTAATCATTTGCTGTTTCCCGCTCAAAATCGAAAGTTAAAAATAAAGCTTTCATATCGGATTTAATTTTTTTAAATTTTAAGAAATAATACTATCTGAAATGAGTAGAATGATTTCATTGATTTATATTGGATTATATTGCCGGGAACGTTTTACGTAATGTTTTTAAAAAGAACTTTTTTCCGAGCGCGTGGATCCTCATTCGTAGTGGAAGTGGTCAGGCTATGTATTCATACACTTAAATTAGCAGTCGCAGTTTTATGAATATAAATGAACCTCCTTATAGAAATCATAAAGAAGAGTTTTGTCACACCAAATGAAAATAGTCCGAAATGAAGCAAAACCCATATTGTATATATTATCTGGGTTTGTTTTCTTTTAAGAGAAAAGAATCATATGTAAATACAATTTTCATTAACGTAATTGGTTTTTTTTATTGCAGGATTGTATTATAATCGAAACAGGGTTATTGACCTCGCCCACAACAACGACAACAACATAGAATGGACTGGAGATCTGACCATGATTACGGATGGTCAGTACGCCCTGGTACCTCCCATGTAAGTACCGCACCCAAGCCTAATACGTGTGGTTACAACGGGTAGAGGAAGCGGTAATCTGCTTCCAAATCACACTAGAGATAATAGTTGTACCTGTATTGCAAATATAATTGGTAAAGGTTCAATGATTCGGAGAAAGTAAGAAACATAAAACAAAATAAAAATAAGTTGTTGGTTATGCTTTTCAAGTGGTGGAATAGTTCTTGGAGATTGGATTTCAATTTTTATGAAAGAGGGCTTAAGTTGTATTCCTAAACATATGAACAGTATAAACATACAATATCATACTAAATTTAAGGTTACAAGCGTTTATTGTTTCTATTTTACCAGTATTTTGACGTTTTTATTTAGCGAATTTTCCTGAAGTCTATTACAACGTTATTGATAAAAAAAAGTGTGGATCATGATAGTAATTTGTCTGAATTTTTCTCTCATGTTATTTTCATAATTTTCCGGTTAGTGGTTTGTGAGATATGATAAGTTAACTTCATTATGATCTTTTTCCTGTAAAATATTTATAAGATAAAGAAAACAATGGCACAATAAAAATAATGAATTTACCACATCTTAAAAAGTGATCACTGGGAATGGCTTAAAATGTCGCAGGAGAAAAATTCTGACCAAAAAATTGATTTTTGGAAATCTGCTGAAAAATGTAGAAATGCATGAAATACAGATGATAAAAAACACGCGTGACCTTAAATTTGACACAGAGATGTAGTTCAACACTGAAAGTGTTGAGTTAGTGTGTCTATGAAAGTAATATAATGTTCGGCTATTTGTCTTGTTACATCGTTACCATTTTAAGCTCGTGATACAGCAACACTTTTGGTGATGAGTTCCCCCGCGTTAATCCAGCCACCGGCACCATTTTCAGCTTAATGATAGGTTGGTGATAAAACTGGATTGTCTAAAAATCGTAAATTTGTCAAAAACTAAATGTGATTGGCTGCATATTGGTTCAGCCGATCTGGTGACGATCGATCAACACTTGGTGGCTGAATTAACGTGGTTTTGCTTTGTTACCTAAATACTTACCTGCCGAATGTCACCGATCGTTGTTGAACAATAGTTTAGCTTTCTGTCTTTGCTACGGCATGCTAAAGTATTGTAGTATGAGCTCTGTGGCTGCTTACATTTCATTTTTCATACACTGATGCAAATTTCTTTATCTATTTAGTTAGTCTAACTTTAATTCACTTTAGATTTCACTAGAATTCAATATCACAATAATGACTATAAATACTTTATTACCTGGTTTCAAACTGACGGTTATTGCTACGATCACATATTGACATCGATGGGAAAACATTATCAAAAGCATGTACATAAACAAATTTACAAGATTCGTAGATTTATTTTTCGGTAGAATACTGAGTTGTAAATATGATAAATATTCATTTGTTCTCATAAACATGCTCAAAATTAGCACCTTCCCGTATACAGTACGATGTCAATTTCAGTAAGATGTCGATAAAGTTCAGAATATAGTAGCATGCATATACGTGAATATATTATATATCTCAATTGGATTCCAATAATATTTGATTCAAGTGTATTTCAAAATATAAACTTTGTATAATACAAAAACATTTCTGAAATAAGTACGAAACGATGTCTGTTATGTTCATCGAAAGATTACTTTCCAAATGAAGTGAGACAAACTTTTCATGCTTGTTTTTATTATACACGCATTTTAAATATACCAAAATTATGCGTTTCCAACATCGACGAGATGCCAACCATATTCTATTTTGATTCCAGTGTTTTAACTACCCCAAGGTAACGTAGATTTGACCTTGACCTTTGTCAGATACATACACGTCACAGATTTTGTCCCACTATTGTCAGTAGCCCTGGATTGCAGATAACGTGTGAATGATACCGTGCAGTTCCATATTTGGTATTATACTCAAAGGCATTACAGAACAGTGGTGTAATGTCTCAATTAACATAATATCACTTCTAAAGGTTCAGTGAAGTGTTTTCACAATGGGAAAGGAAGCTGATTGCCACTTATATTTTTGGTTATTTTAATAAGATGTACATCAGCTATATTTTTGATGCTAAAAGCTATTACAAAAATGCCTCTTTATGGAATTGCATGGTAGACAAAATGTGCATTAAATTATATACAGAGAAAGATATTCATTGTGTCATTTATTTCGTCATTTTGCGTTTTGCTTCACTCCACGATGCTTTGTGTTATTTTTTTTCATTTTTTTTCATGACGTCATGTTTGTTTGTTTATCTTGCTTCATCACATTCTTTTTGTTATATTTAACTTTATATTTCTGTCATTGACCAATCTCATTGTTCTTTTCAGTTTATTATTTTCTGTATTGATTAAAAACTTTCCCATCGGTTTATCTACTGAATCCATTTTAACGATTTTACTACTTTGATTTCACATGGAGAATAAATAATATTTTCATATTTCCCTCTTAAACGAATGCTTGTAATAACACTAACAGATAACATTAAACCGTAGTTACCAGAAAAATTAAAATTATATTTATATATAAACGGGTTGATTTATTCGGACACTCCGGATTTCATTTTCTATAGCTGCCATCTGTTTTCTGATGTCTGAATCAAACGTTTATGTTAACGATACAACCCTATTTCAAAAAATAAGTATAAACGTTTCACCCCAATGCCTCTGATTTTCCATTCTTGCTTGGGACGGATGTCACTTTAATGTTTTATCATAGTGCTTGCATGTTCTATGTTTGACAAACGTGAACTTATTTCTCATCTTTGAAATGCAATACTATTTCTGTCATTAAGTATTGTTCTTATAATCTTATACACACTTATTCTTCCATCGTCTTTTATATTCTCAAGCATGACATTTCGTTCTCGTTGTAAAGTTGTTGTATTATTTTTGTTTTCAATCTTGTGTTGATACGTAGTCACGTTCAGGTCTACCAGTAGCTTCCATTGAATGCAATAGTCTGTATAAAAAGTAAAGTAGTGTTTTGTTACTGATATCTCATCCATACATGTAACATTCGCACATGACATCTAGTACTGTAAAGGCGTTATGAAGATTTGCTGTTGTATTTGTTTCACTGACGTAAAGAAATGCGTAGCACCCCGTTGTTATGCTGACTACATCACATCGTTTCCTGTGGAATTCATTGCCTTCACGGTATTTTGTCATGCCATTAAGTGCGAGTGATTGACACCTATTTCTTATTTTTATTTGCAGAGTTATTACCCCTCCTCCACGCAGTCCGGTGCCCCCAATTGATGGAAACATTGTCATTCCTCCGGATATAGGAGGTGGTGGAGTCATTGGGCCAGGCTTTGGAGGTGTTGGTGGCGCAGGTGGTGGTGGAGGTGATATGGTGGGAATCGGTTCTGGTCCAGGCGCCATTACTGGCGGAGGTGGTTCTCTGACGAATGTCGTACCCGGAAGTGGTGGAGGTCCTACTGCATTGGGACAGACAGCAGGCGGAGCTGGAGGAGCAGGCGTTCCATTGGCTGCTGCGGGAGGAGGTGGAGCTCGCGCGGGTGCATTGCTTGGGACGATTTTAGGGACGATGGCCTTCATGGCAAGTCTTTTATGGGCTTTCTGGCAGTGTAAGCCGGGGATGGTTCCGTGCTTTGGAGGCGGAGGAGGCGGAGGTGGTGGTGCTCCTTCTATGGCTATTTCGTCCCCAACTCCGGCAACTAACCTTCCTGTGGCTCAAGCCTTAGGTGGTGGTCCAGGTGGAGCGGCCTTGAGTGGTTCGGGAGCCGGAGGCGGTAGTGCTGGGGCCGGGGGAGCAAAGGTTACAATTCTGAATGGATCTGCCAGTGGAGGTGGTGGAAGCGGCGGCGGCGGTGGCAGCAATTCAGCTTTCTCTGCTTACTATACCGCATCTAATGCGACCGTGGCTTCCGGTGGTGCTGGTGGTGCCGGTAGTGCCGGTGGCGGTTCTGCCGCTGGTGGCGGTGTTGGACAATATGATGCCACGTTGAGGGCGACGGGTACATTCTCAAACAAAGGAACCTTGATAGGAACGCCAAAGTCTACCCGAGCCTACTTAGGATCTACGTCAAGCGCAGGAGGTGCAGGTGGTGGCGGCGGTGGGAGTTCTTCTTACAACTACTCCTCGACCACTAATAATGTGTACAACAGTAACCTGATGAGCGGAGGAGGAGGCAGTGGTGGAGGCTCCTCCATGGATGCCATTGGGTACGGGGAATCTACAACAGCGGACTACGACATGGCGCCGGGGATATCCGGAGGCTCTGCAAACTACCAGGGTAACACCATGTCTGGCGGAACTCTATCCAAAGGCTATTCTACGTCTACCATGTCTTCATCTTACAACTACCAGGTATTCAAATATAAGTAGAACACAACCAATATAATCATGTTCAGCCGAAGCGTCAAATGACATTTACTACTATATGAACTTATGATATGTAATGCAGCCTATATATTACTATTAATGTATATTATTATTAAGATGTTTCACGATAAGCTTGTTTGACAGAAATATTTTCATAAAGATATAATTTACTCATGGATTGTCCTACTGTTTCCCAGGTCCAGAACGTAAGGACAGTGATGATGAACCAGGGTGGTCAACACATGGTCAGTTATGGGTCAACGTCCAGTGGAGCTGTCACCCCCGGGGCGGCTGGAGATGAGGTTAGGGTCGACTGTTGCTTTATGACCGGTGATGGAGCTAGTGTTGTGACCGGCTCAAGTCTGGGACCGCCCCAAGTTTGGGACATGCAGGTAATTTTTGTGTACTGATTTATAGGTAATTTCCATTTTTGAAATCGTGTAATATCCATTTTCTTATTGGAGGAAAACAGTATTTTATTAATTTGAAAATTCAAATTAATGTATGTAAAGTTAGCATGATTCATAATCGTTAACTCATGGCATTGTTTTGTTTATGGTGTCCGCAACATTGTATAACTAATGGCAATTGACACGAAGCACGACTTTCCAATTTTCAATGGTAGGTTCATGTATTAAATTATATAGTAAGTTTATGTTATATCAATTAATTTTACTTTTTATGTACGACAGTTTTCTTTTCATGAAGACAAATGTGGACAAAATAGTATGGTGACTTCACATTTAGTTCAGTCAATTTGTTAATCAATGACGTCGTTGGTTAATCATTTTTAGAGGTTCTATGTAAGGGACAAATATGTTTAATAATGTTTATCCTTTGTCTTTCCTCCAGACCGGAGAACTACTTAGAATCATGAAGGGTGATACTGTCGGATCAACCAACCTCCACTTAGCTTGTAACGACAGGCTGCTGGTGGGCGCAGTACATGCCGATTTAATAATTAACGAATTTTCTACAAGAAAAGGAGTAACAAATAAAAAATTACAGGTAAACGAAATTATTAATTTACTCATATTTCCATAAGTCAAACGACATGCTTTAGGTAAAGAAAATCATTAAGCTGTCGATTTCTTCATAAACGAAAAGGAAACATTTGAATGGGCGGATACGTTTACTTTGTGAGTGTAATGTTATTTAAAGCAAATTTAGAACAAATGCTCGCTCCAGGATTCAATATGCTGTATAGTTTAACTTGTACTTTTGTAGTTCGAGCTATTTAGAAAGCACTGAGACATGAAAAACGCTGGATATAAAATGTTTATATTCCTTATATCCCTTAATTTTCGCCTTTTTCGCCCTCCGTAATGAAGGCGAATTTATCATTACAGCAAATATAATTAAACTGCATGATGCACATAGTAATTAAATGTGGAGGGCGAAAATTGATTTAATGGGCGATGGGGGAAAGTTTGACATGCCGAAAACTCCTCGGTATACAGTAAAAATTAGTAACGCAATAGAGAATCATCTATTTTTAAAAAGTTGTTTGTTGTGACGTATGATGCCAAACAAAGTAAATATTTACTGCACCACATTGTCATTGTGTCCATGACGTATCATATCGGTGGTACTTAAGTCAAAAGATTGAAAAATTATGTCAGACGTTTTCCAAAAAAATATGTACAAATGCCTCAGTTACGTTACAAAGTTACAACTTTGGCTACTACCAGATCATTTATTCTTTAGGTAATATTTCATACTTACCCGCAATATTACACCAGCAAGATTTGATAACTACTGGTGGGTTCGTGGACCTTTTCATACCTACGATTATGTTTTTGTTTTCCTAACCTCGGAGTTATAAGACCGCGAAGTGAAACAACTATTCATTTTTCACCGTCAGAAGGACACATGACAACTGAAAGTGTCTCAAATGATGGGGAACATAATTATACATCTTAATAACATAGATTCAAATATTTATCGTTCATAGTTTCTATTGCAGTAAGCTTGTAAATGTTATATTTGCATTGGGGTTATCTATCTAAGATACCGTTTGACCTTTTATGATCCTATTTGTTGCTGGACCGTACATAATCTATTTCTCTATCTGTCTGTTCTCGCTCAACTACAGAATTATGTTTATGTTGTAGATCTGGGACTTTGTCACTGGCAAACCTTTAGAGATGGGTAAAGAAGAGACGTGTTCAGCACTGTGTGTCATGTCAGATCCCGACAAGGTTGTGTTCGCACGCTCAGAACAGTTCGGTAACGCCACAAACATTATAGTGTGGGACTTACTAGGAAACCAACCAATCAAAGAGATGCGTTACGATGCCCCTGTAGGAAACAATGACTATATCAGCTACTTAGCGTTATCTCAGAATGATAGATATTGTGTAGCCGGATTCACTAATACATTCGATAACTACGCCGAATTTGTCACATTTGACGTCACTTTAACTAGTATCAACATTACGGAGCCAAACCTTCTAAGATTAGATGCCAATCCAGATTGCACTGTGATATTACCACGTGATGAAGCGGTCACCGGACTCCGGAACGGTGACCTCGTCATCTGGAGTCTGCGCACTGGACAGTCAAGTCGTCAGCTGTTGTCAGGATCAGGTGCACATGCGCACAGCCGGGAAATCAAGGCTCTTGCCATTTCTGAGGACAGTAGATACTTGGTGTCGGCCTCGGCAGACGGAACCCTTAAAGTATGGGATATGACGTCAGAGAGACAGATTCATACGCTGTCTGGACACGGTGATGAGGTAGGTTGAATATTATCTGCTTTTACTATACGGAACCTCTGTAGTCAGGACACCACGTTTGACAATGTCAAAAATATCATTTTGTCTGGATAAAGAAAAGAAAATTTGTCTTAAAAAACATACATTTTCTATATTCAAGATGGTAAAGGTTCTATTAAACTGGGATTTTTTTTTTAAAATATTGTGCGGCTTTCAAGGGAAAATATTTTCTCTCAATTTAGTAACATTTTGGAAAATAACCATTTTCAAGGAAATCTATATATCTACTAAGAACTTTAATATGTCAAACATAAATTGCCGTTTTGCTATTTTTATTGAACATATTGCATGACATGAAATTTCATGAGTACCTCCTTTTGTGCTTTACAAATTATTTCGACAAACTATTCACAAATTCTCCTGCTAGTTTACATAAACAGCAACCATTTGATTCATTGACATATTTGCCGCACTCAGATTTACCATATTCATATTTACGCTTCATGCCAACATACAAATATCACAGTAAAAACAGTTTGACGTTAAACAGTCGCTATACGTAATACGTTGCTATATTTCACCATGAATTATTTAAATAAGACTTGAGTTATTATGTTTTTCAGGTTTGGTGTGTTGCAATCTCGCCCGATAACGATATTGTGGTCTCAGGATCACGTGACGGTTCCATCCGGTTGTGGAGATTGAAGAACGGAAGTGAGATATGCACATTCACGACTGGTGTCGATGTGTTCTACGTCACAATGAGTCATGACAAAGGAACCATTGTTGCCCTTGGTGACAAATTTGGTGCCAGGAAACTTATCATGTTGCAGGTTGTTCGAACAAAGATCCGTCGACAAATCAGCTCCTAAAAAGTGTCGATTTTGACGAAAAGACAAAATAGAAAGTAACTGGTGCAATTACAAGCTAGTAACATGCCTTATCTGAACGGCTGTTGGACTTCACATAAAAAAAACTGTTTTAAACCTATTCCACAACAATGTGTAACGGTAACATATTGTTACAACGTCATATCAAAAGTTTTGAATTTCTGAAAATTAATCTTGTTTTACGAATTTGAAGTCTTTGCTTACTAAATTAAATATGACAAAATATGTCACTTAGTTAAAATATCATACTTATCAAATATGCAATGGAGAATATATTTTGCCAAAGACTATTAGATTTATTCCGAATAACTGTGTTTTCTTTCTAACTCGCTTTGCAAATGAAGTTTGAATGATATATATATACATGTATTTATTTTTATTTTTAAATGCCATTTATTTAATATGTGTTAATCAAAATAATTCGCTCCACGCATAATCAGCTTGAACATTTCTTGAAAGAACTAATGACTTCCAAATTATAATTCGATTTCTACACAGTAGACTTCCTCCTTTGTAATGATGAAAAAACCCACCAGATTTTGCTTTTAAAATTATGTTCCTCAAAATGATGTTCTAATTTTGAATAAACGGGAAAATTTGAAAATGCCTAAATGTTGCTAATAGTAGTAGTTGAAGGACTATAATCAGCCAACACAAAACACTAGATCATACGAGGAAACTGTTCATCACATTTGGAGGATTTGGTCGTGATATTATTATCATATATTTTTTTTTAATTTTCATCATTGCAACAATCAACATAATGATGATTTAAACAATTACATCCAATTTTCAAAAATGCTGCAAACTGGCCTCACTGAACAAAAAAAAATCTTGTGGAATTTTTGATGAAAATACATATTTCAGAAATGATTTAGATTGGTCCGTTTACCAATGAATTCGAGTCTTGCCGTATATTTACATTCAGATTTATTTACTTTTTAGTATGTTTAGACACTCATCTTCCGCATGGGGTCTTCTGGAAATGCATACCATTTTTTAAACGATTGATGATCAAATGAAATACAAGAAAGGGAGGTAATCTGGTAGTTTTCCGTTGCATTGTGCGAAGTTTGTGGTGTGAGAAAGTTTGCCAGTTGGTGTTTATAATGATGTAAGTTTTATTTATTTGTCACGAGGACTTATCTCACTACAATGCGCTGTCATAGGTCTTTCACGTGTGTATATTCACAAATTTCTTACACAGACTTCTAGAATCAGCAAAGCCCGCTTCAACCGACCTTGTTTTAGGTAATCGCAAATCTCTCCCGCCAAATTGCAAGTTGTAATCTTTCTGAGAAAACCTGTTTTGTGATGAATGTTGTTTTAACGTATATACACATCTCCATTTGTATAATTGTGCTAAAAAGAAAAGAAATATTAATTATGCGTTTTTACTATATTTATATATTATTTAAACAAATATGGTAATATATGATTTTTATATAAATAAATTTATCAAATGGTTGTGAAAACATTCTTCCGCATTTATATTAAGAAAATATAATTATTTAAAAAAACACAATCTTAGGGTAAACAGCGACTTTAGCTTTCTTTATATACTTTAATTAACGTTCTTAAACGTCGTTGAAATACAAGGTGCTCGAGGTTTGATATTTTAAAATCTGTCAAACTTTTGTGTATTTTTGTCAACTTTTCTATCATTAAATTCTATAAAACATTTGTTTTTAAAATTAATTTTACCTAACGTTTAAATATTTTAAGTTGATCAAACGTTGACCTGAAATTTGTGCCATATATTTGTTTGTAGTACATGGGATGAAAACGATTATATTAATACTCGAACAAATGCAAGCTGTATCAACATGTTTTGCATGTGTGTATTTGTCATCGCTTTATAGAGACGTTTTGTTTTTTTATATATTCAATAAATATGTGCTATAATTATGAAATATAATGTGTGGCATTATTATTTGGTCATATAATTATAGGTAGTGGAAAATAGGTATTATCTAATTTTAATCACTCATTATAATATGACGTAAACTTTAGACAGAGTGGGCTTTAAAATTATTGGTTCTGTTTTGTGCTCTTGCCCACCTTCCACCCTGTGAGAAACTTTCCTTTTAAGAAATTGTTTGGAAATCGAAAGCCTTTGTGTAGACTCATTTGCATATTTGCTATGAACCAATGGACGGAATCCACATAATTATATATCTGAAGTTTTAGAAACCACAAACTTACTGCTCTATTTTAATCCATAACCTGACATTTTGTGAAAGTTTTAAACTAAAAGACTGTCACAAACTTGATAACGATCTCAAATCGCAGGTGAATTTAAACGCTAAAAAGTGTTCTAGATATTATCAACATCCCTAAAAAGAAAAAAACTATCAATTATAGTGACGCCCTACACAATCAAACATTGGTCAATTTAGATTCTAGCAAACATATAGAGGTCAACGCATACAGTCCATCGATAACAACGCCAACAAGACTCTAGGATTTCTGAGACGCAACTTGCACCAGAAAAAATAAAGCCCAAACATAGAGTATTCAGCCACATGCGGGGACCTTATACATCAGACCGGGTCCTAGCTATTGAAAGTGTCCAGCGCAGGGCTGCCAGAAACGTGTTTATTAACCACAGATCTAGAGAGCCTGGTTGTGTATCCAATATGATCGGATCACTTGACTGGGATCCCCTAGCTCAGAGAAGAACAAAAGCCATGGTCATGATGCTGTTTAAGGACGTGCCAGGATTTGGTGGTGGAGGAAAGCACGACAAAAACCACCAACCTACGGCCAGTACCTGGCGACTGTCACACGTAGGTCTCGACCCAGTGGTGGAGGGCTAGTGGTAACAGAATGTCAAGTTGTGGGTTTTATCATTTTAAACTTATTTCAGAAAAAAAAAGTTTGAATAAAACAAAATTTTGAACAGTTGTGCCGTGGATAAGGCCCTTGCTTAAGAAATCACAGGTCTGGGAATCGCATCTGTGTGGTTGAATTTTTTGTTTTTGTTTTTTGTTTGTGAATAGGGCACTCATATACAATCTATTTATTTGTAGACTCTTTACTGTGATAAACGAGGCAAAACAGCTCAAATTAAGAAGAAAAAGATAAACAAAGTGGATCCCCTTTTCAGCATATGAAACAACTGGATTTTCCGACGTCCAATTTGAAAAATAATTATTTCTCTATTGTGAGTGGGTTTTTTTCATTTTTTTTTTCATTTCAATCCCATATCGCATGAGTTTAAAAAATTCAAGGATCTAAACAACCTAACATATATAGCATGTGGTTTGAGTTTGGCTCATATCCCTTAAGGATGTATGATATACGACACAAAATACCTGCAATTTCAGTCAGAATTATCTCCCTTTACCATTTTGGAATCTTACCCGGAGAGCACAGAATTGTTTCAAATGAAGAGAAAGATTGGTGTAGAAGTCTATCACTCAACAATATAAAAAGACTTTAATAAATGACAAATAATAAAATCCTTGTACCTATCAGCTATAAAACTATGGTATGCGACCGGTAAATGAAAAACCATAAATATTTATATGAAAAAAAAATGCAAATCAGAATTTCACTAAATTTTCCGGATTGACAAATGAGATCATGTCAAATACAATATGTACGAACATTCCTTGCCTTTCAAATGGCTTCTTACATTTCCGTACATTAATTGTTTAGTCAGCCTCCATTCTCTTTCATCCTTATAACAAATTAATAATTCCGGTTTTACCGCTGTGTATTTATGATATATATATATATATATATTTCATTATACACTAATGCATGATTAGTACACAGTCCGCTAAAATAAAACGCGTGTGAGTAACGTTTATATAACGTACCACGTTTTCCGCCACTTATCCTTAACAGTACCGATACTGTATCCCGAAAACTGTACATCCGTCAAGGACATAACACGCATATCTTCTATAGAGCTTACACAAATCACACGTCGGTCGGGCAGCGAGATCGCCACGTCCTTCAACACACAGAAATTTCAACATATTTTTGTTTACTTTATGTATATGTGTTTTAGCAGTCACATCTGATATATATATTTAGTGAGATAACAGTTCTTAACATTAAATGGCAGTCAATGCTGTGGGTTGAGAATGACGAATCCCGCTTTTAAGATGATACGTCTGTGGCTGCTGTTACTGTTTGCAGGTAAGACAAACTCGAACATCTTTTATACCAATTTTATTATAATTATCATTCATTAAGCTGTAATTACCAGAAAATACGGTATTTTTCCTGTCAATGTAAATTGTTTCAAACATTCAATATATTTTGAACGTTTGTTGTTGACGTGTTTACACTTGTGCTGTTATACACTGCTATACCTTACGGCTGTCAAGAACAGCTAATAATAAATAGAATGCATTTTTCTCAATCAAATCTGTACTTTGATCCATTCGCTCCACAGAGATTGTTCCCTCCGCCAATAAATCAATTTTATCTATGGTTTCCCTCAAAATAAGGAAATCCCTGTTTTTATTTGTTTTTAATTGATCAATTTCGTCGAGCGGTATTTCGTTATAGAGTATTTACCGGTGAATGACTATTACCACATGAACAGTTAAACATGAAAAATATGCGCCAAAAACAACCATCACAATGTAATGCAGGTTTTTTGTGATTTTCTTATGTTATGAAATTTCTAACGTCCATTGTACTTTGTTACAAACGTGACTCCTTTTAGCTGACGACCAATAACCTCACTTCCTCAGTAACAACATAAACATGATTAATTTGTAAGGATATTGAACTTATCAGAGTTTATTTACAACTCACTCGAAAGCATGCTCTAACTATCATAATGCTTTGACAAGGTGCAACCTGTTGACCAATAAACTATTAGCCAGAGTTTTATATAGCCATGGTTATCTACCGGGAGCGATTCGTTCTACGCTGGGGTCATTTATGGTGATCTTCATGACCAGTTTTTCAACTATAACAGTTTGTTCCATGGTTCAATGTCTAGTACTCACTAGAAATATGAAGTATGGAAGGATATTTTTGAAAGGTTAAAAATATAATGATACAGAGGGCCAAACAAATCAATCTGTTGGTGATCTCACAATCTTCCATGGAGTTATCGACTGACATTTCTGACAGGCACCACACGTGGTGCAGGAAGTGCTTACCTTTCCACAGCACGATGTTTCACTTCCGGGTTGAAGTTGTCTTTCCTGTCGTTTTGGAGTCCCCTAGGTGCCTCTTGTTTTTGTAATGGAATTCGAGTTCATAATGTTTTCTTGTGTAAAGTGGCTTTTCTCCATCTCATATTTATATGAAAAAGAGATAACACAGCGAGCAGTAAGAAAGCATTCAATAGAAAGGTCACCACTCAGAGTAAGTGAAGCTGGTAATGAAATCCAATTTATGAGGTGATTGGTTTTTATTAAGCCTACTCATCGGAGAGTTCATCATCTCCATCATATTCTACCAAAATATCAATCTAGTTAGCATCTTCCTGTCTATATCATGAGAGTTAATAGGTTGAAGAGAGTAGTGTTATCACAGAGTGACACGCGTGCTTTGTAACAATTTTTCACTCAGAAAAATGCCCCGTGCACTGCCAGAAAGTTTTATTAAATAATCTTTTTTAAGCATTTTTCCGGCATGACTATAGCTTTCATAATTTCTGAAAAAGAAACCCATACTTTTACAGAAAAGGTATAATGATGATATATACAAAATGAAAAAATGAAAACGGTGTTTTGAGTGGTAAAATTATTCTTACGGCAGAATGTACCCATTCTATATATATATTTATCACGTTCAGTGTACTAATTGACTGTTTGAATGTGTTTGTTCAAATTATTCACAGTTATTTTCATGTTATGGATCTTGTGTCTTTTTAATTCCAAATTGATATTTTCATTTATAATGTTATTTACGGTAGATGATATTTTTAGCTTAATATCATTTCAACTACAGTAAAAACTAGCTATATTGCCACCATTTGTCCAAAGGAATTTTGGCGTTATGAAGGAGTTTGGCAATGAATTGAGGGAAATGTGTTTAGAAAATCTTTAGAAAAGAAACACGAGAAAAGAGGTGTATGAAATATGTTGACGGTAAAGAAGGTAGCAAATTCAACGAGGGATAGGATATTGATGTGTTTCTTTATACGATAAACGGCATCTATTTTATTGCTGTAAGTATCTGGAAGAAGAACAATAACCTAATTCGGTCCCCGGAGTGAACCACTAAATCAATTATACAAAATACCGAATATTTCTTTCGAAAAAATATTGTTTTTAAACTTTCATTCCCTTGGTATTCCAAATATGTGTTGTATGTAAACAATTATCATATCATTCAGCGTCACAAGCTCAATAAGACCCTGTTTCCATCCTGTGTATGAAATCTCAATACACTGTAGGTGTTAAAAGGTTAGCACTTAACATCCGGGGCAGACACTTGGGTAATTTATCAGGAATGCCCGGATGTGGTCGATTGAATACGGTATTCCTATACATAACAATGCTTTTCCTATATGGGATAAACTAGACATTGTGTATACCAGACCGCAGGAACCTTAATCCCGAGTCGATCCCTGTGAATACTTGTGTCTCGGAGAATGCAATAGTTTGTCGAGGATGAGGAGATGTAACGAAACAGATTGACACTAGGGAATTTACGGTATAACACATTTAAATCCAACATGTAAAACACATTTATATTATTATTTGGCAACAAAACAAAACACATGCAGTGGGTTAATATATTAATAACTTGTATAAAACGACTGTGTGCTATTATAATGTTTCAACAGTAGTTTTGACCAATTTCATTTCCACCTTTTTTACCCCTAGCATTGATCCTAGTAGGACGAAACAGCTGGAAGGTGTAGCGGGCTTCAATTTTGGCGTACTGTATCTTTATCCTTGATGCAATCACATGTATGTGGTAACGTTCATATTTAAAGGAGAAAATAGTTAACGTTGGATAATTGTAAAGAAGGAAGACTGAAAGATTTATGGTTATAGTGCTATGGTAGATATTAGGGGTGTTGGTGGAAGGGTCTTCGATGTGCCCCCCCCCCCCCCCCCCCCCCCCCCCCCCCCCCCCCCCC